GGGAATATGTTGTGTGGGTGTGGTTGGGCTTGCAAATTGGTTGACTGGAGACTCTGTGCTGTTTTGTTGCTGGGCTTTTCCTTCTTGTGTAGGGGGTTTGAGAGTCTCTGAGTTCAGGTTCTCATTGGAAAGTGGTTGAATTGGTGCTTCATCTTTCTGTTGACATTGTTCAGTATGCTCGGTGTGTTCAGGATATACGTTAGTTAATCTAATGTGATACTGGTCACAGTGTTCAGTTCGGCGACTACTGAATCCTTGATACTTTGTAGTTCAGTTGACGTGAGGCGATTATTCTTGGTGATGATTCTTTTTTGGTCTATTACTTTCGGTTCCGTGACAAGTTGTTGAAGATATGGAAATTCAGCTAGAAAAAGTCTATGTAATTCATGCCTATAGCCCGATTTTATTGTTTCGAGTTTTGTAGCAGTGTAGTAACAACGCATTACTGTTTTATTCATTTCATCTGTCCATTGTCTTTGTTGTTGTATTATTATTATTATTAATATTATTATTATTATCACATCTTGAGTGAAAATAAATAGTAGGAAGGTATGGTAGGCAGTGTTCAGATTTTTCTACTACTGTTTGCACGATTTAGAGCGTCACCAGCGACAAAACTCAGAAGTCGCTTAATTCTTGTTTTCTGAATAAGCAAGAAACTGTTGCTGCTTGTCATATTAAACTGGAGTGGATACGGTGATGTGAAATTGTGTTTGGAAATGTTTGTGCCTTTATGTTGCTGTTATGCCTCAAGTAATGAATATAGGTATGCATTGTAGAATATAGACCTCAAGGATATGTCAGATATCTTTTCTTATCCAAAACAGCTGCACACCAAGAAATATCCAGCATCGATGGGTAAGTCTGTTTTCTTCAATTTCTGTTAAACAACACTGAAGAATTCTTCGTATAATGTTGATTTAGCTACTCCTCATCCCACCATTAGTAATCTCATATTGATTGAACCAACACCATCATCAGATGTAATTGTTTCTTTGTCTGATACCGACTTAATGAAAATTGTGTATCACCTGAAGCACAGAGAACACACTACGAGATATTTTTGAGAAGGTATGTAACTTTTCAGGATTTCAAACCTGATTTCGTTTAAGTTTCAAGAAACATCATACAATTCAGAAACAGTATCTATGAAATAATATACTGTTATCAATAAAGGAGATTATCGTTAAATAAAATCTAATTCCGGTACTGGGGGACGATGGGGTCCACCGAAGGGTAAGAAAAGACGACGAAACTATTATTAAAAAAGCACAATATGTCGGAACTAATAATAAAGCCGCGCAGGTATAAGAGCAGAGAGCTGAGAGGTGAACCTCACAAATTCAAATTATACCTGGGTTTTTGCTTTGCGATTCCCTCCAGCGATTTTCGATGCTTTTGTTCCCTGGTCCAAAAAGAGAAAAAACGAGGTCTCATGCGGGACCAAAGCAACAGAGAGAATGAAATGGACCAGCTGCACTTTAATCCTTAAAATTGCGAAATTTCATCTAATCCTTGATGGCCCCAGTGCACCAAAAGGAAAAAGGACCAACTTTAATTCCCTGTTAAAAGCTTTTGATTTTGCTATTTTGTTGTAGATGTTTATTATTGCAAGTACTAAATTATTAATATCAATACTCTAAGATTTATGATTTTGCAATAAACTATTTAATGACCTATTAACGTCTTCTTAATGAATGAGACACTGTAATAATTTTCATAAACTGATGTAAATCTTACTGAGAACCATCAGGGTTATTGAGTTAAGTTTTTTTTTTGTTCCTTTTATTGCCCTGCTACAATTTTAATGTTACTGTCTCACAGTGTTTTTTCGGCTGCTTTGTCCCATAAAACACCTTGCAAAACATGCCATCAGCGATGAATAATTTCAAGGATTATTATGTAAAATGACCAGATTAGCATCGATAAACGCTCGTTAAAATTAAATTAATTATGGTGACCGACAAAGGAAAGAATTGATCCCACAAAACGTGAAATACACGCCAAATATTTACATAAATTTTGTTATTTGCCGAATGTGTTTAAAAATATTTTGCGGTAATTGAAGGATACGGCGAAGGTTCTTCAACGAAACGTCTCTCCCATCGACTTCTTCAAGTCTGGGCTGGTCAACAAAAAAAAATCAAGAACAAAGGAGTAGGTCTAACCGTCTGTGAAATGCGAACCGACTGAAAAAAAAAAGATGCTGAAAAACAAAACGGCGGACGTAATTTTATTATGTTTTATGCACCTCAGTTGAGTTCAGGCGATTGAGTTTACACGTTGAACTACCTTCTAGAGAGTAATAATTTGATATTTTTAATTTGATTCTCATGTGAACACACGTCATTAAATCATCATTTATGATGATACAGTGATGCGATAATAACAAAATAATATCTACCTACGCATAGTTAGTTTCAACAAGAACTGAAAGGTTTTTGGCTATACAATATAGAAGAGGCCTTCAGACCGACCATGGAAATCGGAAGAAAGCAATTGGGGAATAGCAAGATACTATACATTTTCTAAAAACATCTGTGTCATGATTCCAGATTGAAAGAGGCCAATGTTACTCTCATATCCAGGAAAATAAATAATCAATCATTCGTTAACATCTCATTCCACCTATGTTTTACCGAAGTTTTGACCAACTAAGCTTTCAACATCGCGAGCAATAAGCAATACTTACGTATAGGGCAATAGTAATTATTATCGACCGCAATCACATTATGAGGCAAATAATGGAAAAGTTCTAGAAATATGTTTCCTTTATTGACTTTGGAAACGCCTCCGACAATGTGGAGACGTGGAACGCTGCTAAATGCATCGAAACATTATTGTAGATTATAGGTTACTATGTTCAAACGAAAATTCAATAATATCAAGCCATTGTAATAATCGAAGATTGGAAGAGATAATATTATAAGACAATATAAGATCACATATTATTATCACCTTATCCTTATAATCATGGCAGGATTATAAGTGTGGAATACTTTGTCCAGCCTCAAAAGTGTTGATGACATTGAATTCTTCCCTGACGTTATATGAATCAGTTGAAGAAAATAATAATACGAGCTTCGAAATATTACAAGAAGCTCAATTGCTAATGATTCTTGAGGAATAGAAATAAAGCATACGAGGTGGTGAAGCTGGATATCTATCAGGCCAGAAATTATTGCTTTAACCCAAGAATTTGAGCTCTGGACGACAAAAATGACACTTCTCACGATTCAAGGTTAAATTGGCTTCTTGAAGACGATTGAAAAGTTTCTCCAGAACCTCAATATGTTTTTGCAAGGTAGGCGTGCTAATTATGATATCATCCAAATATTTTAAGATGTGCAATTCTGCGTCAAAAAGATTATCGACCAAACGTTGAAATGTTGCAGGAGCATTATGGAGACCAAACGGCATTTTAACAAATTGAAACAAGCCTCTGGACGGCACAGTGAACGCTGTATATAACTTTGAAGCCAATATCCTGTGGCCTATGTGAGTGGATAAGCTGGAGTCTCATGCATCCGTTTTCCGTTTTCCGACGAAAGATGTCCGAAAAACCTTCTATTTTGACATATTTTTATTCGATTATGTCAGAATAGAGGGTTTTTCGGACATCTTTCGTCGGAAAACGGATGCATGAGACTCTGACTTTAGGTCACATTAGGCCCTAGCGATTTCACGTAGGCAATGACGTCGCCGAGGACGGTGCCTCTGATCTCTTCTAGCGATGGGTACGATTGGCCTGGCTCTGCGTATTGGCGGACTAGATAGCGTTAGTACTGCTTGTCTGCAGTCCTTGTGGATGTGCACGATCTTGTCAGTGATATTGTTGTTCTTTCTATTCGTTCGGCCGCGATGTTTATGCCAGTAATTTCCGTTTGGAGGACATTAGGCATGGAGCCAAGGGCTATAGCTAGGTTCAGTTTGAGAGCTTTGGAGTATACTCCGCATTCCGAGCCTGTTTGAGTTTTGGAACCATCAGTGTTTCTTACCCCTGCCACTGTGTTCTTTCTAATGCCTTCCGTGTTGATTGCGTAGTGCTTTTTGAAGACGAAACATGGTGTTGCAGAGTCCACTCTGGCCTCCAACAATGAAAGCGAGTTCGTTGCCTCACGCCATATGCGGGCTCTCTGCAAACCGACTTCTGCACTTGGTTCTATTCCAACAGTGCGGAAGCGCATCATTGTGGTTAAAACGACTTCCTTGATATAAAGTATCCAGGGGCGTCAAACACAGAATTACTTCCAAAGCCTTAGCTGATGTGGTTTCCTTTGCACTAGGCATGTTGAGGCATGTCATTCTTTGAACGTGGTCTAGTTTTCAGCTTATAGTAGCCTGTTCGGCCTTATGTCCCCAAACATCAAAGCCCCATAGGTAAAAGGCCTGATGATGGTTGTATAGACCCCCTTAACTACCTTGGGGGAGAACCCCCAGGTCTTACCGATAGTACGTCTACACTGTTCATAGGCGAATATGCTTTCTGTATTCTCATAGCGATATGAGAGTTCCATGTTAGTTTGCAATCGAGTCACTCCCAGATATTTGACCTCGGCGGCAAAACTTAGTTCGGTGTATAAGAGTCTGGGTTGCTGTCAGAAGTACCAGTTTCCTCTTTCTTGTAAATAGGACCATTTCAGTATAATTCGAAGAGCGTTGTTTCAGTTTAAAATTCCACTGTAACTGATTTTCAATAAGCTATACCAAATACTGGATACCTACTTTTCCATTACATAAAATTTATCAACGTTATGCTTTCCAGTACTGTCCTAATTTCTTGTAAATATTTTTATAATTATAGGTATGTTAAATAATTGCTAGCGTGTCAGCGTGTCTGGTAGTTGTTGAATACAACGGGCAACATTATTTTTGGCGCCCAACGTGGGGCAAGAGAAATTAAATTGAATTTTATAAACCTTAGCTTGATGTTGATATTCCTTCAATTTGGTCTAAGGTATGGATTGAGGATATAAATATAATTCTGTAAGTGGGTATTACTTGGTAGAAATCAAAGACAAATTGGTATTTTTAAGGTACTTATTAACACCCTTGTGGTTACTTAATTTGAGTCGGAAAGTAGTTTGATTTCAGTAAACCGGACTTAATGATTGGTTGTTGATTGGTTGACGTTCATTCACCATCAGCAGGAGTCGATCTTGCCCTTGTTCTCTGGGTGGAGAGTATATTTTTTTCTTCTCGTCCTCTTCGTGGTGTGATTTTTTTTTCTTTTTTTTTTGTTACTTTTCTGTCAAGCTGTGTAAGATGTCATTCAAGCTCGATGTAGACAGGTTGGCAAAGGACGAGCTCATGTATGAGGTTAAATGTCGAGGAATTAAAGTCTCGGATACTGACAATGTTGATTCTCTTAGGAAAAATCTCCGTAGTGCTCTCTTGGTCGAAAAGAACGCTTCTTTTACGCAACCATTTTCATTTACTGGGATTATTGGAGATGAATTAGTTATTTGTGAGTCAAACTTGGATGAGATTGGTACTAGTTTGGCAGCTTTTTCGAGCGAAATTAGGAAGCTGGAAACAAAAATTTGTCATTGCTATAATAGGCTGGAGAATATATTAACAGATGATGCTGACCTTATTGGTAAACGATCGTCGCTAATAAAAACTTTGATGGAGTTGATTGATGACTACAAAACTAAAAGCAAAAGTTTGCAGTCAGAGGAAAGGTTGGATGCTCCTACAGATCCACGTTTCCAGGAGTCATTGTTGCTCGAGAATATCAATGATAACTATGCTCACCCAGTTTCTGCTCTCCAACTGAATAAGTACTACTGTTGCAGCACCTAATAGTAAAAGTGTACCGGTGTATAAGTGGAACATTAAATTTTCAGGTAAACCTTGTGAAAGTTTTAATGAATTTCTGGAAGAAGTGGAAGAGTACTGTCAAAGTCCCGAAAGTCGCAATGTTGATAAGTCGCAGTTATTTGCGTCAGCTCGAGATTTGTTTGAAGGGGATGCCTTGCGTTATTATAATTGAGTCAGGAGATTTGTGTGTGATTGGAATGGTGTGATTCGGTTTATGAAAGATGAATATGTACCTTCAGCTGAGAAATTGGAAAACTAAAGTCAGGAACAACAGCTCAGCTGATCGAACTGTTGTTTCTGATAATGCATTTTCGGTCGACAACAACATAACAAAGTTTGTGCCGATACGTTTAAGGGAAGATTATGGATGTTTATATCTTTCCAGAACTAAGACACAAATTTTTTTCAGGGATTGAAAAGGCGAGTGGTATTTTTCAAAGGTTGATTTGAAATGAATGATCCTATTTTAAATTCCATACAATCTCGTGGTGATTTGAGTTCTCCTGATTTGGAACGGCTTCATAAATTGGTTGACACTTATTTTTCGAGGGTGGAGTCTGACAAGTTAGGTTTTACCATTGAGGGTTTTACAAATCTAGTACAACATAAGATAAAGATAACTCACTCAAAAGGAACCCATCAAACAACGATATTGTTATTATCCGGTATCACCTTTTAAGCAAGAGATCATCAATGAGGAACTCGATAAAATGATTGAGTCGGGAGTTTGAAGAAATCCTCAAGTTCTTGGTCTTCACCAGTATTGTTATTGGTACCTAGAAAACACAAAACTTGGAGATTTTGTGTTGACTTTCGTAAGATTGATTGCGTTAGTGAACGGGATGATGCTTACCCATTGCCATATATTGCAGATATATTACGTAAGTTAGGACGTGCCAAATATTTGTCATCATTGGATATTCAAAGTGCTTATTGGCAAATCGAACTTGAACCTTCTTTCCGCCTCAAAGTGGGAACAAGAAAGATGATAAATTTGGGACAGATAGGGGACAGAATGGCGACCCAGAAGCGAAATTGTATTGATCTTTGCCCGGTTAAAAAAATAGCAAAAATAACCGCCAATATGGTCGAGCACTAAGCTGAAAAGCATGGGGGCATGTAATGACTGTACACTGTACATCTGAAATATTTATCATGCGTCAGAAACGACAAAGATGCGTTAAGAAATCATTAAATAAATGGCAGTTGCAGCTTCATGACGGATTGGCGAAGGTATGATTTATTCACTAGCAAAAAACTTGCAATCTATCTTTCCTAATAATCGATGACTTCTAGCTTCTAGAGAAAGAAATAATTCCATTAAAAATTGTAAAAACATTTGTTTTATTGATTATTTTTATCAAAGAATTCTAATAAGAATTATCGAATGTAAACCACAAGAGGTTTCAGGATTACCGGATAATACTTTTACCTGTCACGAAACGCGTTACGCAGCAACACCACGACTCCGAAGGAGGAGTGGTGTTGAGTTTCAGGTAAAAGTATTAGGTAATCCTGAAACATCGAGTGGTATTCAAAAGGTTATACAACGAACTAAACTTTAATACTTTAAAATTTAAAAAAAAAATCTATAATAGAATTTGCCATAAATGCCACCAAGCGCGATAATCCCAAGGCTTATCACTTATTAAGCCTCTCGTGTCATATGGGAATAATGTACAGTGAGTTGTATAACCTATTCAATTCACAAGTTTACCTGCATACCTATCAGTGAAAATGTCTCTTTAATATTTTCATTCAAGAAATTTTAATTTATTGCTCAACACCATTGAATTTGTCTAATAACTCAACAATAAAGTCATTCATTTATTTTAGAGTTTGCCCTAAATAACAAGAAAACCTATAGTATGTGCACTATATTGCATCGTAAAACTGAGAAAAAGTTATTATGCTCCAGTGGAATCTCATCTGAGTGATGGAATAATCTTCTGAAGGAATGCAAGCTTTAATTTAATCTAGTTTTACATTCTTGAACCAAATAGTCCTTCTTTACGAGCGTATTGTTTTATTGAGTGTGCAGTGCCTGTGCAATCTTATTCCCACTCTATATCCAGTTCATTAGTAATCCACCGTTGACCGGAAACCTTTTGTTAGAGAGGTCATTCGATTTTTGTTCTGTTTTTTAATAGATGAGCTTTATTCTTCGACAGTGACAAGAATATCTGCGAATCACAGAGTAGGTATTCGTACATTTGTTTTATATTATTGTTCGTTATAAATTTAGGATGTGTATGTGTATGGTGTGTAATGTATGTGTTGGAGGTGACAGTTGCACTGCCACCAAGGTTGATCTATTGTACCCCTCCTTCTGCTGCTAAGTTCGGGTTTCCTGCTCAAAGCATCCAGTCTAGGTCCTTAAGAGATTTTAGGATATCTAGCGGTTCCAGGGCTGGAATGTCTTCCAAATGTATAAGCGTACTTCCCAAGTTCTTCATCCTTGAGCGACTAATGGCATCGCAGTTCAGTAGAAGATGGTGAGGTGTCTCTCCTCCGTCTTCACAGAATCTGCTGGTGCTACCTTCTTCTAACCCCAACTAGTGTACCTAGGTGTTTCTTAAGTCTGCAATGTCCCGAGAGAAACCGGATTAGAGTCTTGAGACTTTTCTCACTAAGGTTGACCAGCAGTTCTGATCTTTTTTGGTTGAAGTTGCCCAATAGATATTTGGCTGTTCTAGCCATTGTTCCTTAGCCGGTTCTCTTCTTTTTTGAGGTGCGCATTTCCAACGCCGCAGAATGGTTCTGGCTTAGTGAAGGGAGTATACGTTCTTGCGAGTCTGTCTGCGCATTCGTTGCCCAGAGAAGGGTTACTTTATTTTGTTTTCCTAGCTCATTTAGTTTCTGTAGACATTTTCATACTGTCTTAGAATTATTGATGACCAGGGATCTCAATGCTTGGCTGTCAGACATTATTACAATCTCTCGTTTCCAATAACTTCTGTTTAGGTTCAACTGCACGCATCTTCTGATTGCATGAAGTTCCGCTTGAAATATGCTTGGTGATTTTCCCATTGGCTTCGAATACTCCGACTCCAGTTCCCGCAGCAGTTTTGGAACCGTCTGGGTATATTTGATGGGGATTGAATAGATTCCACGTTTCATCTGTTTTTTGTACTAATTCGATGGAAAAGTTGTTCTCGAAACTGAATTTATCAACAATAACATCTTTTGGTAGAACCATGAGGTTTACACAGTTTTGGAAAGGAAAAGTTCTGCCAAGCTGCGTTTCCCTTTGTAGATCTATCTTCCACAGTCTGATACATGATCCACAGGCAACCTGCTTCACTATTATGTGGAGTGGTATGAGGTATAGACTGAATTCTAGGATGGTAAATTTTGTAAGAAGAAACTCATGCAAAGATACAAAATAATGATCATATAAAAGCCCATTAAACAACTCAGATAGGTGATAGATACTTAACTTTTGTATAATCTCAGAATATGCTTCTTGTTAAATCTGCTCTTCTATTTGATTTGCCAAATTTTATATACCTACCTGAATGTCATGAAAACTTAAGTCAATGGTTTTTTGAATCTAATATGATAGTATTTATCCTATACAAAATGGGATTCTAAGAAGAATCCATTTCAATAAATTTGATCATATCTTATTGTTCTCCATTGATATAGAGAATCCCATATTTTTAGGGAAAATTAGGTTTATTCTTCTGACTTTGATAATGAAATTATATATTTTTTTTGTTAAGAAAGGAATGCAAATTTGAGCCAGAGGATGGATGGATAGATGATAATTATTATTGATAAAACGATGTTGGATGTTGTAAACTCTACAATATCGTTTTATTGTACTTATATTGTAGAGAATGCGGTGTCTGATCTGTCGATCAGACAAGTCAAAAACGGTAATGGAAGTACATAAGGATTCAAGGAATTAAAGTGACTAGTCAGGATGTCTCTAGAAAGTGGGGTGGAAGATGGTCTACTTAGAAAACTCCCAGGCAACTGATATGATGTTTGCTGCAACTCGAAAATTCTCGTTCGCTATAGGAAAGAGTGGAAAAGACCTAATCGACAGTCATAAGATGATAAACATCCAAGAATTACATAGCAAGAAGCACCCAAAAATCACAGAACTCCTACTAGAACTGTCATACGATCACATCAAGCCGGTGATGATGATTGCTGAGATTTCTTTATTTATTTTTTTCAATAAATAGGGAACCCCAAGGACGTATAAAATAAGGGGGGGTTTTGGGGGTTCGAACCCCACCCATTGAACTAAATAAATTATTTTTTTGAAGAAAAATTAACGTTTTTGGGCGAGGCACCGGGAAAAAAAATTCGCCTTTGACGATATCCTGGGCTTCAGAGTTGTGTGGTACTCCGGTACGGTACAAATACTGCTCTTTACTTGTACCTACTTAACCCGGGTCCCGGGTATTTTCATTGTTTTCGAATACATTCGCAGTTACTGAGTAAAACTATTGGACTTCAAGTACATATTTATTTGACCACAAGTACATTTCCAGACAAGTTGAGACCTGACATTATGTTACGATATGACCAACTTCAGGCATTTCTTGTTTAGCGTACAGATGCTTAGCATGCGTTCCGTTGATCGTTGTGATTTGCAAACGAACATTTTGAACTTTTCTGTGCACTGTGACATTGTGTCTGTGACCATAGATTTGGAAATTCTGGGCCCTTATAAACTCTGGACTCTGGCTAACCAAACCAAATTTCAAAATTGCTGAATTTATTTAGTAAACCAAAATGTGTTTTTCAATTTTTGATGTGTGAACATCTATACCGGCGGTTTGATGGTAAATTTCTGGAAATGGGACGGAAGTGTGAAAGGGGAGGTGACATCATAACCCATGTGCAATGCTAAGTGCGCAGCTACCTCAGCGCTTGCGGCCAATGAGGTGTCAGATTTTCATGTCAATAATCAAGACTGTTTAAAAGAGGATGTTGCGTAATAACTTGTACCTATGACGTTGGGTATGCAGGGTGGCATTAGAATGTATTCATAAATGTACTCGGTACTTTGAATACTTGGGTATTGAATACTTGTAATTGTACTCGAGAACATTTTAAGCTAAGTACTTGTACCCGTTACCCGAGTATATTTTGCCTGTACTCGAAACAGCTCTGACTATGCTACACCCAGTCACATATACATCGTCTGGTCTAAAATTGAAACCCCTTCCAGCATAGACCATGAGCTGCCACTGCTTTAAACCCTCCCCCATGTGAAAAAGCTAGAGTTACGTCGTTGGGGAACCCTTTCGAACGTCCCCATTCTAAAACTCAAGAGAACTCAAGAACTATATACTCATAGTTGATTACACAAAAAGTTGTGCAAATAATTCAATCCCTCTATTTGAAATCAAAAAACTTTTCGTGTGAATACAAGCCTAGATGACTGGGAATGAGCACTCAATCAGTTTTGTATCTACAATTCCACAATGACCAGTAGACCTACTGATGATAGTTTCCGCAAGATCGATCTCAACTATCTAGTCAAACAAAATATCTACTGTAAAAGTTACTACCTATCAAGTTATTCGTGACAGCAACTATATCATCATAGAAATGATTCTTGATGCAGTCTACTTCTGAAAAATAATCTGGCAATTAGAGTGTAGATGAAAATAAAACACTAACTTAAAAATTAACCAAGAAGTATATTGTGCCAATATTAAGTGAAATACACTGTACATAACTGTTCAAATTAACAATTTAATTAGCACGATGAGAGGCGAGAGATTCAAACTTTTGCCAGGCACATGCTGAGTTTCGCCCGAAAACTGTTAACTTTAGCTCATGATTAATGTAAAAATAAGAACATCATGTGACTGTCAAAAGTAAGGAGGATTTTGGTATTCAACTAATTAAAAGCAAATTTTAAAATGTCAATGATAACAGCACTAATTAAGTTTTTCTTTTAAATTTTGATATCCTCTCATAGATGTAATAGAATAGGGGTCGAAAGGAAAAATAGGATTTTTTTTTCAACATGCAGCATCCCAAATATCATTTTTGTTAAACAGTTTCCCTCAATAATAAAAAGCCCCTTTAACAAAGATATCATTTCGGAACGCTCCTGTACATAGCAAAAAATTAAAACACATTTATTCTTAACGTCGACTCTAATAATAATATTTTTTATACATAACTAGTCTTAAATTAATGTGTCATTTTTCGTAGGGGCTTCCAGGAACTTATAGCAAGTATACTTACTGGAAGCCACCATATAGCATTTAAATAATAAAAAAAAAACAACAAAGTTTGCTACCTATTATTTACAAAAAAAAATATAATAATTACACTTATTGTAGGTGTGTCCAGAAAATGCTTTGTATATACAATAGTTGTATATTGAAATGCACCAAATAAAAAAAACCTATTCAGCTACCTACAAAATAGCAAAAATAAAAATAAAAACATTTTTTGGACACACCACTGTAACATCCATAACTGATAAACGGTATGTATAATTAAATTAATGACGAGAGATCACTGTTTCTACGATTCTAGAGCATCTCACGATCAGATCACTAGTTTTTTTTTAAAGCTGCTCTATCACATTATTATTTTGCTTCTAAAAGTGTGATAGAGCAGCCATCTATTAGATGAATGTCTCTATTCTTTTACAAATATTTTATTATTTATTACACATAGTTATCACAATTTTTTTTAAAACAACTTTTAAGCTTCGAGGGATTCGAAGTAGTCAACAATTTACAGTCCAAATACGAGAAGCGTTCGATTGATGAAGTATTTTTATACATTTAGTGAAATATAGCCACAGATAGAAACGTTATATTTTTTTTTAAATAAATTCTATATACAAATCTTGAAATTGCAATCGAACTTTTGTTTTTATTAAGCGTACACTTTCGAACGGTTCCCATAATTTGGTAACATGTATATGACCTTATAGTACTTAGTACCGTCGTCTTTTGTTTATGCATTTTAATAAATGACTTCGTAGACTGTCGCCTTCTTGTCTCCGGAGCCTGTAACTATGTATTTGTCGTCTGCCGATATGTCACAGCTGAGCACACTAGAAGATTCTTTAGACTGAAAAATAAAGAAATCTATTAGGACTTTTATGAATAGGTAGTGAGGGCTTTTTGTGACCCTATTAAGAAACTTTTTCTATAGATTTGTTGTCCCTCCTCAAGTAAGCATGTAAACACGGATATACTAACCTGGAATATACTAGCACCGTAAGGTGTCCTCCATGCGTTCAGCAAATTATCCTTGCCCGTGGAAACGAACCACTTCCCGCATGCTGCAAACCTCAAACTCAGAACGCAACTCTCGTGCAAATGCAACTGGTACTTGTCCGGTTTGTTGGCGTGCAACACTTCCACGTTCGAATTTTCCATTCCGACTGCTAGCCACTCGCCAGTTGGACAGTAGCCCAAGGAGAAAATTTGTGAACTGAAGTCGTGTTGCTGCAGCTGCCTGCCTTCGCGCAGATCCCAACTCCGAACGGTATTGTCCAAACCTAACAAGATAAATATTTAGTTAGCTGTATAAAATATTTACCACAAATTATTATTTACCCCCGGTCCATAATTTAGTACCATCTGCCGAAATGTCTATACAAGAAGCACCGTCTGTGTGTCCCTGGAACTGTCGTACCAAGGTTTGGTTGTGTAAGTCCCATACAGCTATATTACCATCTGAACAACAACTAAAGCAAACCTAAAATTGCACAAATTAGTAATCAGTGAGTATGAATAGAAAAAGCAATATTTACCTTTGAATCTGGGCTAATAGCTAAAGCGTAACAAGCTGGCGCACTAGAAGTCAATTCAGCTTTGATCCTTGGCGTAGGACTTGCTAAATCCCAAATTGAAAGATTGCTTGCCTCACCGCCCACTATTAACGTTCTACCATCTGGCAGCAATTTTACCGATCTAATATAATTATCTCGTTGCTGAAAAACCAATTTAATTAAATCAAAAATATTTCATTCATAATGAAAAATCTCTTACCAGGCAATCCAGCTGTGATACAGGACTCTTAGATCCAGGCTGACTAATATCCCAAACCTTAACGCAGCCTTTGCCTCCTGTGTAGACATATTTCGTAGGATTAGAGATGGTCACAGCACAAACCACTTCTCCATGACTGAGAGTGTTAATTTGACGAGCGTGTCTTGGTATCCCTGGACCTACCAGGGCGTCCGGTGGAAAAGGGACTGGTTGCATTTGACCGTCAGCGCTTACATGAAACGAATAGGCCCTAAAGAAAGCATATTATTGTGAATATATTCTTGGCAAATAGTTGGAGTATTCAAAGTTGGTAAATACATTACACTTACGGTTTTCCACCAGGTATTCCTCCAAGACTAGGTACTACAGGAGCTCTCATTTGTGAATGTGGGTCGTAGCCTACTTGCAATGGTGGCCTGGGGTAATTATTCAGTGCTGGCGGAAGGTTGTTGTGTAGAGCACCGTAACCTGCCCCAGCTGCTGCAGCTGCTTGGAGTTCATGGGATGGAGCACCTAAGAACGAATTTTTTTGGAAAATGTTTCATGACTGTTGTTGTATATATATATCTCATTAGCTTATTTACTGTGTTTCCTATTTATTTACCTGTTATGTTGTATGTTATGTAGTCAGTTATTGTCAGAATACTTTGTAGGTAGGTACTGAATTAGCTTATCGAAGCCTTAATTCTGAAGCTATTTTACCACAAGTAATTCAAATGTTCGTTAGCAGTGGATCCATAACTGGCTAGCGTTGCTTCAATGCGTGTCAATTTCTAATCGATCTGGCTTGGTAATTTGTCCACTGATTAATTTCAACAAGTGGCAGATTTTACCGGCGGTCCTCTTTACTGCGTTCCTTGGAACATCCACCTTTTGTGGGATTTTAGAGTCGCTGGGAACTCAAGTGGTAGCTGGCCTTATTGGTTTTAGGGTGAAAATTTGGATTTGGTCGTAAGTCCCCGTATTTGTAAGCCAATCACTCAGAATTTTCTGGAGACAAAAATCTGCGCCATGTTGTTGAGTTGTCGTGCCAGCAAAAAGCATGTTTCGTTTCCAGTGGCTCCATAACTGGCTAGCGTTACTTGAATGTGTGTCAATCTCTGATCGATCTGGCTTGGTAATTTGTCCACTGATTAATTTCAGCTTATTAAAGCCTTAATTCTGAAAATCTTTTATCACAATTCAATAATCTAAATTAATCAATGGACAAATTCCTCAAGCCAGATCAATTAGAAATTGACACACATTCAAACAACGCTAGCCAGTTATGTATCCACTGGAAATGAAACATGCTCTTTGCTCGCACGACAACTCAACAACATGGCGTAGATTTTTGTCTCCAGAAAATTCTGAGTGGTTGGCTTAAAAATACGGGGCCTTACGACCAAATCCAAGTTTTCACCCCAAAACCAATTAAGCCAGCTACCACTTGAGTTCCCAGCGACTCTAAAATCCCACAAAAGGTGGATGTTCCAAGGAACGCAGTAAAGAGGACCGCCGGTAAAATCTGCCACTTGTTGCTTGCTCAACGTGCGAATTTAAAGAGAACGACCCTATTTTAGCCATTTGGGTGGGCTCATAGAAGAAATTTCTCAGAATTCTATTTTTTCCAAGATGCCCTCTGATGCCAGATTTCCGGTCTTGACCAGGAAAACGAGACAATCAGCTTGAAACGAATAACCCAAACCACATCGATGACAAACAAAACTCAAAATTGTTATCCAATTTTCTCCCGTAACACTAATTATTTAATTAGTAATCATCATCTACCCAATCTTTAATCTAAAAACCATCACAATGACTACTCGTTCAGTAAAAGTAACGTAGTAGCAACGCCCTAGCAACAAAGATCAAGAAACCTCGGCAACAGCGCTTGCTGCACAGGATCAACAAGTGTCCTATAACCACACTTATTCGGGGAAAATAAATAACCGGGAAAATGTAAATATTAGTGAATATAAGGGTGAAACATCGATTTGAAGGGTGTGAAAGTGATTTGTGGTGTTGCAGAATTTTTAATAATGGAAAATAGGAGACTCGTAAGTGTTGACAATTGATATTTATTTGAAAGTAAACAAACATTTTCATTAACAGTTAGGGCTTTTTAGACAACTTTCGTAAGCTAAATAAAATAGATTTCGATCCTATTAGTAGGGCTTTATTATCCTAAAACTACCCTGTCATCTGAATACAAAGAATTAACTCAGTATTACCCCGAAAAATATAGGTACCTTTGTTCAACACCCACATATTGTTTCGCATTCAATCAAAAAGGCAGAAAACTAGTAAAATCCAATGAGAAACCTATCAATCACCGAAAAATATTAAACCTCAGGTATAAAGCTTCATAAATACCCTCACAAATACCTGAATGAGGTACCGAATTCATTCGAAATCTCAGTTACAAGGCAAAATTTGTACCTAACAATTTAGCATCAAGGGGAGATTTGATACTGCCAGCTCTGACAGATCAAGACCAAAATGATGTGACACTACCAGAACAAGAGCAAAATACCATAAAACTGCCAGAACAAGATTTTAATGGGTTAACTATTCCTAAAGAAAACCTTACATCATTCAGTTCAGAACGTTCATCATCTTCATTCCCTATAAATGATTCTAATCGTTCCTTTCCCCAAAATTCTGAAAAATCTCACAATGAAAATTCTCCAGCTTTATCGACAGTGAAACCTACTGATAAATCTGGTCGTGTTATGGTGGAGAAAAATCATAGGCCACCTTCATATTTTCAAGATTATTTCAGAAACTGAGCGAGGAAGAATGTTGTATATCTCAATATCTTATTTACTGTGTTTCCTATTTATTTACCTGTATGTCATGTTCAGTCATGTTGTCAGTTATTATGTCAGAATACTCTGTACTGAATTTTAGCTTATTAAAGCCTTAATTCTGAAGGTCTTTTACCATAACTGTATTCGAACTTGTGAAGGAATTCTTCGGAGTCAGAACTGACTGACTCCCAAGAAATCCTTCACAACTAAAAATGAATGTTACTAAAATTTTCTCAAGGTACTTACCATTAGGCATGCCTAAATAGGGTGGATATTGACCCATTGCAGGTGGTTTAACAACAGGTTTCATCCCGCCGCTACCCGACGACGATCCAGCCGCTGAAGTAGGTGTAACAGGTTTCGAGATAGGCGTTGAAGGTTTCTCTTCCATTTTTTTCGTTGAAGGCGTCGAAGCGTTACTCGATGTTCCTGATCTAGGACTGTGAGGTCCAGGATGTTCCTTCTTCGGCAGCTTATCGATGCCGTTTTCTCTAGGCGATACCGTGCCATTGGGAGGAGAAATTGGATCCTCTGACGCATCGTCCACAACCAAATCCTGATCACTTTTTTCTCCATCGCTATGCTGTAAAGGTACAATTTTAGTGTTTGCTCCACGCCGCTGACCATCTAGTATTTAAATTCGCGCATGAGGTAATAAAAAATGAAAAGCTCGTTTACCAGCCGTGTAATATATCTAAATGCACATGTAAAAGAGCGAGACATGGCGGGTACATGCAACTGACTTGAGATATAAAGATACGTAGATATTCCGTCCGACTGCGGCGGACCCCTGGGCCGGAGGATTTTACGACAGGAATGCGACAGTAAATAAGTTCGTTTTTTGTAAGTTTTGCCTCGGTTTGCATGGTGTCGGAATATCAATATTTTAGCTGGAGATAAAGAAAATAATATGGAGCCTTGAAGTAATTTTTTCGTATATATGTACCACCATCAGAGAAACAGGAGTGCTTTGGAGGACTTTTACTTTGAAACTGATAGATGGTCAGCATTCTCATGGGAAAATACAATGCTGAAAAAAGGTTTTAGCTTGGTGTTTCAACCCTGAGATAGGAAGGACCACAAAAGTAACAAACAGGAAATATGTGAGTGTTACAGAAACAAGAGGAAGGTGATTAAAAAAGCAAAAATTCGTATTGGTACGCCTATGTAGTTCAATTCCGATTCTCAGACACATTAACCGTTTGCAGTTTGGTTAAACGTCCATTTCGGTTTGGTTTTCGAAACTCTTCTTCTTGTTGTTTCTTCTTGCAAGCCAACGGACACGTCAATTATTAATAAGCCGCGCCGCTGGGCCGTGAAAGGCCGTTCTTTTTATTTAAGACCCTGCGGTTTTTTGTTGAATAACCTATCGGTCATGGTTTTAAGCGATTTGTTACGGGCTTATTACATTATTAAACGATTTGGTTGCTCTGCAATTTGCACGCCCACAAGTAAATAGTCTACGGGCTACGAATCAACGATTATGAAAAATGGCTTGACTAAGGCCAATGTTAGAAAGACTAATGATTTAATTAATTAAGACTTTCAAGATGTGTAAAATAATATCCAATTAAGGGTTACGCAAACAAAATTCAAGTTCTAGAAAAAATGACTGTGAAACTTAAAGTTGATGATGTCCAAAGGATTGTGGAATGTTTGGTTGTTCCAGACTGTCTCCATAAGAAGTTCCCATATTGATTGGTCAATCATTTACCGAACAGCCTGGATTAATGGTACTGAAGGACAGTAATAGTTTGAAATTCACCGAGTCTCAACAATTTAAGACTCCCAATAAAATAGCGCTACGGCTACCAGAACCAACTTTAATTTCTTCTAATCATGTTGGGAAACTGACTGTCACTAGTAAAACGCCATTTCAAGGGGATTTATACATTGAAGCCAGTTTCAGATGTAAACCAGGAGAGGAATATGCAATCCCTAGAATACTTATCCATTTATCCGAAAAAGAAACAGCCGTTAAACCAATAATCAATTTGTCTGGAAGAGATCTCAGATTGAGTGATAAATATCCACTAGTAAGAGCCATTGCTTGTGAACTAGACAGTAGCAATTCGTCTGAACAAGTTTTTCATGTGAATCTGGACACTCTACCATTGATTAACGAGGAGGATATAAACATTGGAACTACGGACCCATCTCTAAGGAAAAAATTAGCGTCCCTTATTCGTCAGGAATATACAGACCTTTTCGGAACTGTAACTGAACTTGGTGAAGCGGCTTCAGCTCAAATGGAAATCAAACTTCTAGAAGATAAACCCTTTACATACAGACCTTATAGAATGGCCGAAACAGAAAAAGAAAAAGTAAGATCCATTGTATCCGAACTCCTAGGAGCTGGAATAATACGCGAGTCAAGTTCTTCATACGCTTCCCCAGTGATTTTGGTGAAGAAGAAAGATGGAAAGGATCGGATGTGTATTGACTACCGAAAACTTAATCTCAAAATTATAAAAGATCGATTTCCCTTGCCCAGAATTGATGACCAAATTGACCAATTGAAGGGATGTTCCATATTTTCCAGTTTGGATCTCAGTTCGGGATATCACCAAATACCGATAGTTGGAAGAAGTAAACACTTAACATCATTTGTAACACTAGAGGGACAATATGAGCATAACAATATGCCATTTGGACTTTGCAATGCTCCAGCAGATTTCCAACGCATGATGAATAAGATATTAGCTCCATATCGCGATATTGCTGCGGTCTACCTAGATGATGTTATATTGCCGAGCAAAAATTCGGAAGACAACCTAGAAAGTCTCCAACAAATATTTGATGTTTTGAGAAATAAGAACCTTACTTTGAATATGAAGAAATGACTCTTTCTCTTCTCCTCAATTAATTATTTAGGCTTTGAGATAGACAAAGAAGGCGTACGACCTGGTTCTGCCACCCGACAGTTTCCAACACCAAAGATAGTCAAGCAAGTTCGTCAGTTTTTGGGATTAACGGGCTATTACAGAAAATGTGTGAAAAGCTATTCCACACTTGTCAGACCTTTAACATTGCTCATGAGAAAAAATATAACTTGGAACTGGGGAGATTCTGAAAATAGAGCATTTGAGAACCTGAAGCAAAAGCTAATCGAACGTCCCATTCTTGCAATTTATGACCAAAATTTGCCAACTGAGGTTCACACAGATGTCAGCCAAGATGGTATCGCCGGAATATTATTGGAACAACACGAATCTCGTCTTAGCCTAGTGGCTTATTAGAGCAGACATACGAATAAGGCAGAACGAAAATATCATTCGTATGAATTAGAGACTTTAGCAGTCGTGGAAACCTTACTGAAGTTTAGAGTATATCTGCTGGGTCTTGATTTCAAGGTAGTGACCGACTGCAATGCCTTGAAAATAGCAAGTTCCAAGAGAAATCTGATATCTAGGGTCGCTCGTTGGTGGCTCCAACTACAAGGATTCACTTTCACCGTCGAATACCGCCCTGAAAACCGAATGCAACACGTTGATGCGCTCAGCAGAAATCCATGCCAATCTGGAGAACCGCCTAAAGAAAACTTCGTCTTAAGGATCGAAGAAGCAGAATGGGTTTTATCGGCTTAGCTTTCGGATGAAAAAATACGATTGATCCATGACATTTTAAGTAAACCTCCAGAAACTGACCATGACAGGGACATTTATGAAAACTATGCTCTAAGAAATGGATGCGTCTATCGCATTACTCATATTGGGATACAGTGGGTTGTGCCTCATGGATTCAGAAGGCAAGTTGTTCGTTGGTCACATGACGAGGCAGGACATTTCGCAGCTGGAAAGACTCTGGAGAAGTTTTGCGAAAAATATTGGTTTTCGCGCATGAAAGAGTATGTTGAAAAACATATTGTTAGTTGTGTTCCATGTCTATATACAAAAATCCCATCTGGACGTCGTGAAGGGTTTCTGCATCCCATAGCAGAAGAGCCTGTCCCAAAATTCAAATTGATCAAGTCAAACAGAAGGCAAGATTTGACAAGAAAAGGAAACCTGCTGGAACCTATAAAATAGGCGATCTTGTCATCTTAACGAACAGAAATACTAAAGGTCAAAGTAAAAAACTATCCCCAAAATATATTGGTCCGATGGTTATAACAAAAATTCTTCCAAACGATAGATATAGAGTGAAGGATATGCCGAATTCGGGACGTAGTGCTACCAGGAAAGTACGATAATGTCATTGCAGCTGATCGCCTTAAGACCTGGATACCTCCTGGAGGTGTTTCGGATGACACTTTGAGTGATTCTGATGGAGATGGCGATCTACCGCTTTCAGATTCATCTGAAAGTTGAGTTGCGAGGACGCAACTTCTGTCAGGATGGGCCGAATGTAAAATAATATCCAATTAGCTTGTAATTATTCAATATATTATTATCCTTTGTTGTGCCTAATTCCATGAATATTTATTTCACCCAATCCATAATAAGAAAGAGAGAAACTCTGTGTGATAACTTGCCTATTATAAAATGGAGGGAAAGAAAGGTACCGACCTGAACTGGCAAAAAAAGACAGGGGAACACAGTTTATTGAGAAAGTGTGCTGAAAGGTTCTCTGTGTCCCTGTGACTAGGCGTTTGGGATATTGAAGATAAATTGAAGTATGAAAGATAATAGTACTGTAATAATGTAGTATTGATTTGATATTGTGCACATTTTATGTTGTTGATTTGGTTGAATTATACAACCTGCCTACAATTGTTGAAGGGGGACCTCCCCTCATTACTGAAGGTAATGTTGTGGCCTTATCTATGATTGTTGTAAGGAATTGGCGCCGTTCTTCAAGTTGTGGCTTGCGCTTGGGGTCCTCGCATGCGGCTTGATTGACACAATTTGGGTTTGAGTGTCTCAGAATTATTGTTACACTTTTACTCTGGTGTTGGAATGCTAACTGTTTAGCGACAGTTCGGCGTTCGGAAAAGCCCCTACTTATTTTAGGTGACACTAGCTAGTCGTCAAAGTTAGAAGAAACATGTAATATCCAGGTTTAACTATATTATATTACTTTCCATATTGAATGAAGATTTTGATGGTTTTTCTCTGTGTATTTGGAACTGATGTTCTAGAGCAAGGGGCGGTGAAACACTTTTTTAAATTTATTTGGCAAACAGAGCAGTAATCGTATTTATGTTTGTTTCATGGAATATTGGCTACAAATAATTGGCTTGCAGAATGAATTGCTTTGTGAAGACCCACAGAAAGAGATCATTAAGTTATTTAATTAGCGAATTTTACAGATGATTATGATATTTGGATATTTTACAATGAGAATGCAAATTTAAATCCATATTCAATACTTACATGTCCAAGATCCTTTTCTTCTTTTTTAGGCTTTTTCAGTTCTGTAGGTTCTTGAGGAGTTCTCGGTCTATACTTTTCCCTTTCTGCCGGCGATATCGAGTTTCTCTGCAAAATAAAAAAAAGAAGCTAAAAAAGTATGACCAATTTATTGCACAAGTCAGCCTATGTATAGCATAAGAAAATAGTAAAAATCAAGCACGTTTGTATCTCAATGTCAGTACGGTGTTTTGTATGCTAAACTGAATATTGATAATTCTGGTTGAACATAGAATTTATGTTCCAGGCCTGGTCGGTCGGCGAGGCAGGGTATTGGAAACGAAGCCGCGCTATATATTCAATGGTATTTACGACTTTCAGTCCGTGGGTCGCAACTGACACCTGAATGTTGAATGATGACACCCCCTGCATCTCACAGAGGGGTTGTTTGTAAAATTTTAAAACACCTGGAGAGAAGCGAAGGAATGGTAAAATGCATATTATGTTGAGAATATTTCCTAATTTAGCAAGTTACCTTGATGTAGTTTTGTTCCAACATATGTTTATGATAAAAAGAGTTTAGTTTTTTGTTTGGTGTACATAACCTTGTTTTCAAGTTGTTATTGTTGTCAAGAAAATACCGCCAATGTGACACGTTATTTGTTCCACGTTAAGTTCTTTGTTCTTTGTTAATAATATTCTATGGTTAATAATAAATGTCAAATTATCAATTCGGAATACATCGTATTCATTATTTTCAAGTCCCCAACATCAAAATAACCTAATCGTAACAGGTTATGGGTTCAGACTCCCAGACACAAGAGGTATATTGCAGTTGAGTAAAGACTAATTAAAATTAGCAGTAGGTACCTAAACATTTACGTAACAGTGAAAAAAAATGAATATCTTAACAGTACCTACCACAGTTAAACTCACAAAATTTCAATAATTGGAAGTTCAGAGTTGGGGCACTATTGGGAGAAAAGCAACTAGAAGATACACTGGAAAAGGCAATTGATGATTCCTCTGGAGATAGAGAAAAAGCAGATTTCAAATTAAGAGATGCGAAGGCGAAATCCATCATTGTGCAATGTATAAGTGATAAAGACAGACATAATCAAGGATTCAAAAACAACTAAGGACATGATAACATCCTTAGAGGATGTATTCCAAATAAGAAGCGTTTTCACCAAACTTACACTGAAGGAAGTATTGCTGAAACAAAAGAAATAAAAAGCTAGAGAACCACTTTCAGATTTTTGATAATATAATTAGAGAGCTGGAAAGCACTGGGTTAAAAGTGGAAGAAGAAGATAAAGTTTGCCACCTTCTATTAACCCTCAATGAACAGTATGACTCGATTATTACTGCAATAGAAACCATGAACAGTACAGTCACTATGGACTTAATGAAATCTCGTTTGCTTGATGAAGAAATGAAGCTGAAAACAAAACAAGGCCAAAGTAATAACTAGCTAGAAGCATCTCTCAAAACACAACCTTATACTTGTTATAAATATAGGAAAGTTGGTCACAAAATTACAGACTGTCATCAGAATCAAATTAGAGATCGAAGAAATACTTATAGAGGCTCTTATCCACATGGTAGAAGTAGAGGACAACCACTTACCAATAATGGCCAAAGTCAAGCAGGATCTCATGCAAACCAGGCAGATGAAATTGCATTCATTGCATTGAACATGGGAAATATATCACGCAATTTAAATCGTTTTGTTTTAGATTCAGGTTGTACACAACGCATGGTAATGGGCGAGCTAAAAGATTATATGTTAGACATCAAGGAACTGAAACATGAAGTTATAATAGGGATGGCCAAAGATAAAGAAATATAATATGCAAGAAAGAAAGAAATTGCAATAGAAGCACTGCTGGTTGAAGGTATATCACATAATCTTTTATCAGTAGGTGAATTACTTCAAAAATATTTGAAAAAGACTATTTGAAGAAATACAAATTAACACATTCAGATATTTATCCTTTTGAATGTGACACATGCAAATCAAAATTTAAACTTAAAGACAATTTAAAGATACATAAACTAACACATTCGGATATTTATCCATTTGAATGTGACATTTGCAATGCAAAGTTTAAACAAAAAGCTCATTTGCAAAGGCATATTCCAGTAAATTCAAATATCCATCCTTTCGAATGTGACATTTGCAAAGCAAAATTATGCGAAGAGACACAAACTAACACATTCGGATATTTATCCATTTGAATGTGACACTTGCAATGCAAATATAGTTTGAAAAGCCACATATTAAGACATTCGGATGAGAAGAATTTCAAATGTAACATTTGCAATGCAAAATTTAAAAGAAAAGGCGATTTGGAGGAACACATATATACACTTGGATATTTATCTTTTTGAATATGACATTTGCAAATCAAAATTTAAACGGAAAAACCATTTGAAGATTCACAAACTAACACATTCGGATATCTATCCATTTGAATGTGACACTTGCTGGCAAAATTTAAACAAAAAGGTAATTTACAAAGGCATATTTCAACACACTCGGATATTTATCCTTTTGAATGTGACACTTGTAAATCAAAATTTAAACTAAAAGGTGATTTAAAGATTCATAAACTAACTCATTCGGATATTTATCCATTTGAATGTGACACTTGCAAGGTAAAATTTAAACAAAAAGGTAATTTGCAAAGGAACATTTCAACACACTCGGATATTTATCCTTTTGAATGTAACAATTGCAAAGCAAAATTTAAAGGAAGAGGCCATTTGAAGACACACAAACTAAGACATGAACTGCGTATGAACTAAACAGGTCACCTACTGAGGCGAACAATGGTGAACCACCGGCTTTGAAATGGTATAAAAAGAATGACTTGTCAAGGTTGAAAGTATTTGGAAGCCAAACATGGGCAGTAACTTTACCAAGACAAAATAAACTGGACAAATGTGCACAAGGTTGCATAATGATAGGATATAGCGGATCAGGCTATCGATTATGGGATTATATGAAGAATATGATTTTTGGTTCAAGAGATGTTAGGTTTAATGAAAAGCAGAAAAATTACATTAATATTGGAAAATGAAAATAATAATGACAAAAAAAAATTATAATAATACAGATTGAGAAAGAACTAACTAGGAATAGAAGAAGGAGAAAACAATATTGAGATTGAAGTTTATGAAGATGAGAGCGAATCAAATGATAGTAATGGAGAAGAAATGGATAGTCATGAGAAACTTAAAGAAACTTTACCAACAACGGATGAAACATCTAGAGGTAGTCCCCAACATCAAAAATAATCGTAACATATTAAAGTTAATTATCCAAAGTGATATTTAATGTAGCTGAAATTTGATGATAAGACAATTCAAAAAAATATATCACGCTATAAACACCACACCAGCAATCTTCTGATCAAATTGATGGAAAAAAATAGCAAGCTATAAACAACAGTAGCACATCCTCCATTAGGATAAAAGTAGGACCTTTTTATCATCGGAGATTGTGTGTAATATTTTTTCCATTCCCTTTTTGTCGGTATCTAATCCATTTAGCCCCAGCATCCCCCCAATGCACCCTGCTGTCGGGCCCGTTTAATGCCGCCTTTTATTTCCATTGAGCTCTGAGATCATCCCCCCTCGTATACTAGCCGGAGCATGAAAACCCGGTGAATGTTCTTTAAAACGGAATCCGTACAACTCGGCCCCTTGCCGGCACTCTCATTAAGGAAATTAAGTAAATGCTTCTTCTTTCCCCCACGATATTCTATATGCTAAGTTTTTGGATTCTCTTAGGTTGTTTTTTCAGATATTGGTTCGTGGTTTGAGAGGGTATTTTCTAAATTAAATAAGTTACTTTTTGATGAAATTAGAAGCTAAAACACCCTAAATGCTGTTAATAAGTCAAACTCATTGTCTCTTTCGGAAACCGAGCCCTCTCTCCGTGACGCTAATCCTTTATTGGAATTTAAGCCCTTTCAAAATTCCGTCCGCAACGCTTTCTCAGCTAAATTAGAATGAATAGCTACCCATTCAGTAGCAGGATACCCCCCTACTCGAAAGTAATCAAGTCAACGTTTGACTAATGTGCTTGAATTTAAATTATAAAACAAAACAAGCAAATTTTTAGCAGCAGTTTAAACGTTACAAGACACGACTGGCAAAGTTTTGCCGTATATCTATCTATCTCTAGAATATATTATGCGAAAAGTTTGCGATGTCATTTTGGAAATCTTATTATTTTGTGCAATAATCCGAGGATATTTTATATGAGATTCTAGAAGAACGGAACGACTGGCAAGAGTAACTGATGTGTGTTATGAAAACGAATTATGGACTTTGTTGTTGATACTGGATAATATTTTTGTGCCAGACTGAAAGTGCTTTGGATTTATTTGCTGAGTAGCTTCGACAATTTTATGTTGGCTTATGATTAACTCTCATCGAAGTCGAGGAACGTAACGCAATTTCCGTCCAATTTTTGCAATATTATTGTTTTGAATAGATATCAAATATTTTCTAGAGAAATATGTTAGCTTTTATTATTTTTTAAACCATTTTCAGTACATACTAGGGAGTTGTAATGGTACAGGAAATAGAGGAAAGATGTTTTCGCAGTCATGCCTCTTTATTACATTAGTAGTGTATATTGGCCGGTTCTGCAACCTACCTCCGCAGGTGGAGGTGCCTTCACAGGTGGAGGTGCACTGTGCACGCGCCTTCTAAAATTTTATTTTCCTAAATTGAATAAAAAGCCATTAATACAACGTTTTAAACTCTCCAGAAATGTTATACGAAGAACACGCGATACTTTTGTGATAACCAATCTGAAGATGACCTTATTTGAAAAATAATTATTATAGCTTTTTTCAAATAGGATGCGCTGTCTTTTTTTCTATATTCTTGAAGCGCACAATTTCCCGATTCTAAAACTATATAGTTTGTTTATACTTGGTTGAGCTGTCTCCAACATATTTAGTTCTAAAAATTTTGAAAATACTATCAGAGAAACCAAGTACCTCAAATTTTACCTGCAGCTTGCACCTGTACAGGTAGAATGGTTCACAAAATATCAGTAGTAGGATAGAACTTTTATAATTTTTGGAGCCAAATATATGAGAGATTGC